TCGTGAGATACGCTGAAAGCGAGCTCTGTCGTGACCGGAAGACGCGATTAACACGCTGAATGCCGTGCGGATTACGAGGCAACGCGTATTAATTTCGCTCTAGCTCAACTAGGATGTACAGCCACGACTGCGAAAAAACTGTTGCACGTAAATATTTGTTCGCAGACAAAATTTTTAAATGCAATAAGTTTCCTAGTCTAACGATTTGTCATAGAATTTGTGATAGTTCTTAGGATATTCAAGTATTCCCAGCCCAGATTCGAGAAGCATTTCTCATAAACGTTCAACGATCTGGAAGACTGATAAATCTCGCTTCGATAAATCGATGAAAGGATCTGGAATTTCCTATTCATCGCATGATTGATCTGGACCATCCAAACAGAGCTGTAGCAATGGATAAACGGCGGCACTCGGAAGATATACATAAAGCGCGCGGACTGCGCGGAAAGGATTCTTTTACAATCGCGAACAATCGTTCTCGGCGTTATGTAATTGCGCAAACAACAATGCGCACGATTGCGGGAGTGTATCGATGAATGCGATATAAATATCGCGACTTGTCGAAATTGCCGATAGATTTGTTCGCCGCCGCGCATTTTATGTCACTTTCGTACTTTATTACGTCCACGCGTACATACACGTGCGCAATGAAATACTACCGGCCGTACGTCGAATCTCAAGTCGGATCCAATCGATTCGTCTCGAGCCAAGCACGAACACCGACAATTATCTTTATCGATGAGGCCCCTCCTAAGACCTCTGACATGCGAACGATCGATGCCCGATTGGTTGCCCGAAGAAATTAAGCTTATACGCTCGTCGTTTGTCAAAAGATAAAACGCCTGATTATGCGAGTCTCCCAAATATCGTTACGTGATATGTGCGTCATTTTTTATATGTATATACGATCTAAATGACTGATAATCAAAATTCGGCAATTATGATAATGATCTTCGTAACTAGTGTCTTATATATAATATAATTGATATTCAAAAACTGAATATAGTAAAATTTTATCCATAAGAATTCTTGAAGAGAGAGAGAGAGAGAGAGAGAAAAGAGGATACTAAATAATAATGCTAGAGAAAGCATAGGAATGTGGGAAATCGAAGAGGTAAAAATCTAAAAATATTAAATATATTTTAAAGAGGGAGAGAGAGAGAACACATTAGAGAGAAAAAAAAGTTTAAAATTTAAAATCCATGTAATTTATTTCATATAAAATATCTCTATACATAGGCAATATCTGTATTTCATAGTAGAGTTTATTTTCTTTACAAACTAGGAATAGTGGTACTCGTCTGAGCCATGCTGCTAATTACACGCACGATAAAAAGTAAAAGTATGCAACGATGGCTCACTCTCTAACATCTACCTCTTTCTATATCTTTTTCGATAATTATAACGAGTCTTTTGTTCCTCTGCGTATAATACAATGACTAGTTTGTTTAAGAAACTTACGGTGGATTTGCGAGATGCAAAATACAGAAAATGATAATGCGACGTGCGGAGCCGAGATCTTATCCTTTTTCCTATTCCACGCGTTAAATACCTTGTTTTCCTCTTTTCGGTCCAGTTGCCCAATTCAGGCAAGTTATAATACTCGTACTGTGCGTATTTTATTCGTTAACCGTTAAGCGCTAAACTATGTACAATCCGCGTGTTAACGCGTGCGAGCGCGCGAATAAAATTCCACCCGACGCGACGTGGCGATTTCGCGAATGGCACTTTGGTGCATCGCAGCGTGATAACTCTTAGCAAAATTTCATCTTCCAAATTTACATCAACCATGCCTGAAATGCACCCTGTTTTCAAAAATATTTTATAGTACTTTGCGAAGTTTCGCATTTATTTCTCGTTTCGTTTTAAACGAGAAATAAATCCCTTTCCACCAAAACTGCAAAAGATCATTGTATAATTAATATAAATAAGTTTCGATCGAGAGTCACGATGATAAATAATACATACTTGAATGCGCTCGCACGCCGACAAACGAAACGAAATATAACTCAAAAAAAAGAAAACGTGCAAATCGTCCTATTTCTCGATCTTTTCGTTTTTATGATCGCGTTTTACGTGCTCGAGTGCATTAGAAAAAATGAGAAAAAAATGGCATAAAACATAAAAAAAATGGCACAGCAGTTTCACGGGACCGCATCACACGGTAATCGAACAACTTTTTATAATCAATATTCCTCACGTGCTCGGAGCGACGTGACCGATCTCTCGAAAGGACGAAGTATAATCTCTAAGTACTATTATATCATCAGCACGCTCATACAATGAGTCACAAAATTATTTATTTTTCAATTGCAGACTTCAAAAGATTGATACTCTTTTAGGATAGGATCTTTTATGGAATAATATATTTGTTCACATATTTTTCTTTCTACAAATATAAAATTTAGCAATTAAAAGTCAGCAATTAAGAAAGAATAAGTATTTTGTGAATCGCTGTGTACGTCGCACACTCGTACATCGTTATTTACAGCGAAGGATAATAAACAAACGAAACTAACTCTCACGAAACTTTTCGAGATATCTGTCTGACGAGTCAACTTTTTAATAATACGCGTTCGATATGATCGAGTAGTATACTTGACAAGAATGCGTGGGATCGAATTCTTTCGCCATTGTTACAAAATAAAAATGATAAAATTTAATAACTTATTTTCAAAATTTAATTAAAATAAAAAAATTTTTTCGTCATGAAATAAAAATGCAACTTTTCGGAGAATATTTTTATGAATTAAAACTTTAATTACAACTTAAAAGGTACTTTCCTGGAAGGATATAGTCGGATGGCGAAAGAGTTAACCGATATTTCGCGAGCGATTCACCAAGATACCAGACTTCACTAACTCGACATTTGTACTGCATTCTAAGGCACTTTGAGACCGCGAAATGAAAACGAGCGACATACGTTTATCTCGTGGGTCACAGAGACGCGAAACTTTAGCAAGAATAGCCGACTGACACCGGCACGCCGGGACAGCCGCCATCCTGATGCTTCGTGAGCAACGACATCCTGCTGAATGTCTTGCTACACCTGTCGCAGGAATATTTCTTGACGTCGCTGTGGGTCTGTAGGTGAGCCCTGAGGTTGCTCCTATCGGCGAACGCGCGATTGCAGTGTTGACATCGGAACGGCTTCTCACCGGTGTGCGTCCGGATGTGACCCTGGAGCAGCCAAGGCCTGGAGAACGCCTTGCCGCACGTATGACACTTGCAGGGTAGCGTGTGCGTTCGGATGTGCATCTTCAGGGCGCCCAAACTGACGTATACCTTCTGGCAGTATTTGCACGAGAAGGACTTCTTTGTCTGGCCTTGAGCGGCCGCGCAGTGAAACTGTTGATGCTTCGACAAGCCGGAATATGTCGAGTAAGATTTGTTGCAGTCGGTGCATGGATACCTGGACGACGTTGTGCTCGAGGAGGTGCTCGCGCCGGTGCTCGGGCTGCTCTTCTCTATTTTCGTGTTGACGATCGACGTCCCGGCGGAGGTACTGCCGGCGGACGACCTGCCGCTCTCGCTGCTGGGTGAGGAAAGATCTTCCGGCGTCACGGGAGGCGGAGATCGCAGAGAGCCGGAACCCACGGAACTCGTAGGTGACAAACCGCAGTGATCCGGACTGCTCCAGTGAGGATAGCTCCTGGCGATGGGTCGTTGGATCGTCGAGCAGGTCAGTGCGCTGTGGGGCGGCGGCGAAACTGACGGATGTTCCGGAGAGGAGTGCGGATACGCCGGTACCGGGTACGACGAATACAATTCCGCTCCAGGATAGCGATGATAGGTAGGCGGGGCATACGGCAGATAATGCGACGGATACAGAGAGCCCGTGCGAGCCCAGGCTGGCGTAGGGTAATGAGCCAACGGTTCCACCGGAGGATTTAGATTCAACGGCTCCAGGGGCGCTTTGCTCGCCATAAAATGCAGCGGGGTCGACGTCGCCGTCACCCCCGCCGTCGGCGTCGTCGTGGAATTGTCATTATGCTGAATCACCTCGACTCGCGCCTTCTTCACCATCGGGTGATGGGTCGGCGCGATTCCCGCTGGCGGCGTGATAGTCTTGGTTGGATAGTGATGGTGATAGTGATGTAACTGGTGCACGTAGTGCATCGCATGATGAGTTGTCGGCGATGATGGCTCTATCGTTAAAGGTGGAGGAGACGTCTTGAAAATCGGAGGTGGCATCCTGCTAGACGCGCGTTCCTGTTCTTGCTGTTGTTGCTGTTGCTGCTGCTGCTGCTGCTGTTGTTGTTGATGGGGAGAATGACTATGATGGCGATCTGCAGTTCTGCTGAGATCCTCGGGCTTCGTGCTGAGATTCTCAGGTTCAGGGATATCGTCTACTCCGACATCGATTATTTCTTCTGCACAAACAAGAGATAGCGGCGTTCACATATATGATAAAGGATACCGAAGTATAAAATATAAAGAAAAGAAAATAATTTGGGTAGTATCTAAAAATAAAAAAAGTTTATAAATATTTTTCTAATATTTTAATTTTAATGACGTTTCTAATGACTCAACTTTTCGAAGATAAAAGAATTCATTGTAAGCCATATTTACTTCATTATTGTAAGAAATATTCATTATAAACTGTATCTCGTGTTAGCACACTTTCTCTTTACTTCTTCCTTCTTCATTTTTATTTTTCCTATATTTGTTTTCATATCTTTATTTTTACATATTTTTATTTGTTTAAATTTGACATAATTATATGTATTCAATTATGTTAATTAAATAGTTATTATATTAAAATTACTATTAATTTTAATTTTATTAATAACAAAAAAATATTAAAGTTTAAAATTACTATTTTCCATTATTCTCTATATTATCTAATCTACTTATTGTGACGCTTAAAATAAATATCCAAACAATACGCAAAACATATTTATACACTATATTCCCGAAAATTTCAGGTCAATATAAACGTTGAATTTCGTATAAAAGTCAAACAATACGCAAAACATATTTATACACTATATTCTCGAAAATAACAGGTCAATATAAACGTTGAATTTCGTATAAAAGTAATTTTGAAAGGATTTGTGCGATAAGAGAAAAATAATTTTAATACCTTTGATAGCTTCAGGAGCTTCTTCTTCATCCTCGGACGTATAATAAAACGGCCGCTTCTTTAAAGGGCAATGACTGTAATTGTAATTCTTCTTCATGAAGCTGTGTGGCACCTCGTCGACAAGCATTTTGTCACTGTGTTTTGATACTGCGCGAAGGCACTTAAAGCGTTCTTCTGATTTATTAACGCTATGCCACTGGGAAGGACGCTTACAGCATCCTCCTTCTTTCTCTTCTCGTATGGAAATCCGTCATTTACAGCGTTAATCCAATAATCACACTCTTGCCGAAGTCTCGCGAGCGACAATAATACGCAGCAAAGTTATTTCCGCGTGTTATCACTGCACTGTTATTTCACACATAAGTCAAAAGCCTCCTCCTTCAAAATAAGAAACGGCACTTTGAGTTTTCTTTAAAGGAGTAATAAAATTGATCTTCACCACACGCTTGTCCGAATTCAACTGACCGGTTGGGCGACTCGGATAAATCTTGACTCGCGTGAAACACGAAAGAGAAATGCGAGGATGTGTGCTATAGCGACTGGCTCGAAACGTCTCAGCTGCAAGCCGGTCTCTGACTAGCAGGGGGTTGTGTCAGGGCCTCTTATAACAGGTCGCCCCACCAAACGATTGCAGGTGGCCCGCACGTGCTGCCGAGCCAATACGGGCCCGCGGGCCCCTCGTTGCTTGCCAATGGGGGACGGGCGGTCGCGGGCCACCAGCCAATCGACCAGGGATACGTTCCACCAACTGTCCCCCACCGTCAGCGACAACGACGGGAGGTGCAGGATGTTCATGAGTGCAACGCGATAGTCCGCTACGCTTCTCGTCCTTCCTTTTTCATCCCTTCCCCTAGTTTCTTTCTCTCTCTCCTTCTCTCTCTCACGCTTACACGCTTCGCAAGTTTCAATGTGTGTATGTTATGTTGTTCTGTAGGAGCAGATGCTGTGACCCCTCTTAGGGGACCCTCTCCACGCGCGCGCACACACATGTACATACCAGGGATTCGCGTTCGCGCGCGCGTGTGGGTACATTAGACCCCCTCCGCGCGAGAGCTCGGCGACTCGCGTTTTTTATTCGAATTTCCGTTCGGCCTACCTGAACTCCGCACCGTTCTTTCTCTTGCTCTTTGTGCGAGAGTGGTTGTCGCGCGCGCGTCGACTGTTTTGTGCCCCTACCTGATATGCGCGCATTGCGTCTCGCGTACATGCGTGCATGTGTGTACATACGTATGTATGTATGTGCGAGCGCTACAATCCACCTCTTGTTCCCCTTCTGAATTTCACTCCCTCTTTCGCGTCGACCCACGTTGCCAGTCCGAACGTGTAACGGTCGTGTCGCGTGCCACAGCATCGCCCACGCGCGCTGGGAACCTACACACGCGCGTACACTCGTGAGCATGTGCACTGGGGCACGCGTACTCGCGCGAGCACCCCGTCTCCCTATATGCGCGAGCGGCAGATTCACGTTAGATCGCCTGCCATTTTTGCGCGAAAGGAAAAGCACGCGGCGTTCAGTTTGGGAATCCGCCACGTGGCCGACGCGCGTAAAAAAAAACGGTAACATTCATCTGTTTCTCTTCGATGTCGGCAGAAACTTTCTCGACTTCCGTCGATTCACTTGCGATCTACTTTTTTCTCCCTTTGTGACATATACAAAGATAAGATTAATACAGATAAGCTTTTTTTGTTGGGGTTTAAATTCTTTACCGCCATAAATTTGTGTATCATCGTTTTTTAATGCTACATCAAAATGTAGCGATGCATTTCGTTCTTTATTGATAAGAATAAAGAATGTCACACTGAGAAAAAAAAATCGTAGATTCAAAGAAATATTATTTGATTCAACTAAATGCAGTGGTCACGGGCTGTCAAGCTAACATTTGTTAATTCAAAAAATATTATATTTAAATAGATTCAGAATTTCTTGATATTACTCACGTATATTTGATTTAAATATATTAATATTTGCATTAAACAAATCACTACAACTAAACGAGTTTAGTCAAATTTACAACATTTTTTTCTCAGTGCACTAATTAAAATATTCACGGCAACGAAATATTTCAGATGCGTTAACACACAATGAAAATTCAACAAGTTTTATACGGATTTTAAAACAAAGTGAAATCATGAAACATTTTTTCGCAATTAACGTATATGTAATAGGCAGAATTATCACCAGTAAAATTAAAAATCATTCGAATTGATCTATCACGAAACGATAATCGGGATAAGAGACCGGTACGGTCATATATCGGCTAGAAAACGAGAGCAATTTTTGACATATAGGACCCTTGTACTTGTCGTCATAAACAGCTCATTCGCATAAAGCTCTATTCTTTCGCTAGTTCGCTGGGTGTGTGCGCGACCAATCATTCTCTCGTATTATTTCGTAATGAAGGAGAGACACCAGACGCGCAGAGAGCAAAGACGGAGAGAGGAAAAGGCGGAGACGGCGTCGTGCGTGCGCGCTGGCAGAATTTCATGATAAAATCTCGGTAACCGATACGCCACGGGCGCGCGTGTTATTAACCGTTTGTCTCGACAGGAGAAACGTCCTCGCTACCGTCGATATATATTTACACTCGCTTCGCTTTGCATTACAATATCAATATTACACGCAATCGCCGCGCACGACGCATTTCACTTCGCTTTAACGGCGCATTCCAAATGCGGCACGCGCATGGTACGTTGAACTTGAAATGATTCCGCATCGAGCTTTGTACTATCAATGCATTGAAAACAGCAACGACGGTTACTACGGCATGTTGCGATATTATCACTGTGTAAAAGATATAATTCAGACTCGAGATTCTGAAGACACTATTCCATGGAATGTCGGCCAAGTCAGCTTATGTAATACAACAAACGCACTAAATTCTGTACATATAAAATATTTGGAAAATCTCAAGAATGAATAATATATTTGTCAGAATAAAAATCATTTCTTGAAGACTATAAATAATCTTCCGAAATTTTAATTCCATTAATTGCGTGTCAATTAAACACTTGCTACTCAAAGACAAGTCGAGTCATTGTCATCACGCGTGCCGGACGTATTGAAACGATCTAGTCGGCTGCTGTACGCACTGCAAATTTATACGATCGTTAGCCGGGACAGAGAGTTCGATTCGCTCGTCGATAAGCGGAGCAGTCACGATCCTAAAGAAACTATCTGCTGGCAACGGGACGGCGCGCGGCGGCGCGAATCACCCGTTGTTGTCCCTATATATCTGCCGCCCCGCTTATCTCATCGACACCCACGAATACAACGTCACGTACATATCGAGTGCGTATACCGATGCACTACCGCCGATCAAAGGGAATGCAAGAAATGCGCACGCTCGGTGCACCGACTTCGACCTCGGGCGGATCGCGATCCCGGTTAAATTTCAAATCCATATCATGCCGTACTGTCTCTTTCGCTGCGTGAAAATGAGACGGAACGTTTCTACGATTTAATTAAACCTTCACGTTAAATAAATAATTGTCTGTCGCAAGTCATAAAAAAAAATTTATAATTTTGAATGAAGACATATCTTGAAGGGATATATTTAATTTATTATTACAAGACCTAATATAGCATGCATTTATGCATCTGAAGCACATTTTTCTCACTGTTCCGGACGGATGCGTTTAATTTGCAATCTGCGACCGCCCTACCGTCGTGCGACCTACCTGCCGTTTCCGATGCATCGCATTAAATTAAAAGCCACAATCTTCTCTCTCGTTGTCACGTAAATATGCGCGAAGGGGCCGATCGACGTTTTCTTCTCGTGGCGGTTTACGAGGAAACGGGCACCCTATACGGTTGCCTCCGTCTCAGCGCATCAAAAACTCAAAACAGAAATAGAAAGAGAGAGAGAGAGAGAAAGAAAGAGAAATACCGGGGAATGAATCGTGCACCGGTCGTCGACGAATCATCTACCTGCGCATAAAGACGCCCTTCCACGCGGTTATCTGTCTCTGCAGACAACCCTTTCTCGTCGTCTTAAATCAGTGAGAGGAAGAAGGAAAAAAAAGCAGGCAAGGAGAGGACTGAGAGAACCTGCATTTTATCTGGTTATTCCGGTAGCTACCGGTGGCGGTTCCGGCAAAGAATTCCGCTTCTTTCTTCCTACCATCGTTACGTGGCGGATAAATTATACGGAATACTGGGCGCGCTAAGTTACCCCCGCTTTTGTTTGCCGCTGTAGTATGTCCCGTGCGTGTGAATCCCAACGAGGGAACAATCCGGCGCCCTTCACGCCGATACCACGGGTAATCGCGCGTTCGCGCAGGTTGCTGCGAAAAGATTCTTTATGCGCGCGTAGATAGAAGCAGGTCCCACTGGCACCGCGCCCATCGCGTTCGTCGGTTATGTTGTTGCGCCGCAATGGCGAACCATTTCCGCCCTGCCGCGAAAAAAAAATACAAATACAGCTACGTGTGACGAAAAAAAAAAACAGGTTGAAATTGGTAACAACAGATATTAATCTTACTGAAGTTGTTAATCATAATTTTAATACGGTATAATTGCTTTTTTAAATTCTTGTGAGAATAGTCCTTGTGACTTTCAACTATTCTACTACTAAGAAATTTAATATCGATCCAAACCCCAGTTTTTCACTGCTACCTTCCATTTGTAATGTTATACAATCGATCAATGGATAACCGCAGTTGTGAACAACTTATAGGGGAGAATTAACGATCGCTTCGAAGATAGATACATCTCGGCCAAGTGTATATTTATAGGCGACCGTTTACGGCCAGTTTCTCATACGATTCTTGTTTTCCCGCTCAAAGTGGTAAATTACACGTTACAGCCGAGGAAATGAAAGGTGTGACTCTTCGACCCTAAGCGAGATACCCGATGCGCGACGTTACGATTCCCCGGAACTCTCAACCAGTTCGCGCGCGCACGCTGTTAACCCGTTGCGATCCGGGCCTGTTCGAATAAATCTGTATAATTATTACGACGCGCACAGAGAACCTATATGTGTGTACCGGGTGGCCGCCCCACTGGAAGGTAGCCCCATCGGAAGGAAGCTGGTTTATTTTTTTGTTGTGCCGCCTCGAGGGGCGCCCCATCGCCTCACCTTTGAAACACCTGGCTATTACCGCTGGAACGCTTTATACATGTGTGTGTGCGCCACCATATGCGACTGGCCCCACCGAGACTAGCTACGTAGACCCATTTTCGGGGCCCGTGGATCCCTACACGTGAGCCAGGTATCCTCGGAAAAGAGAAGGGAGGGGGAAATCGAAGGGGCTTTGTACTTCTTCTTGCACCGAAACTAGGCACCGAACTAGTCGCTTCGCCGATAGTTAAATTTTCCAACTTCGAGGCGCCTTTAATAAAATCGTTTCGTACTAAACACATGTTTCATTCTGTTCTGCTCAGATTGTGAACTATAAATATCTATTTATTCATCAATACTATGTTACTTAAAAATTCTATTTTTTAAGAGTTATAAATAACGCCTCAGAATTTTTTTATAGAAAAATGTTAAAATCCAAATATCTAATTAAATAAAAAAAAATTATGACTAATTTCCGTGTAACAAAACCGT